AGCCCAGCATTACCTTGACTGGTGAGGCCTCACAAGGGAAGCCATATTGGACTGAGGTGTAAACGCCGTGAAGAAGAGTTTGGAGAGCTTTAAGAAGAGTTGGGACAAGACCCAAGTGCGAGGCATGTAGAGCTTGGCCCCTCAAGGGAAAGACTTATCGAAAAACTTGTCTCTGAAGGGAATGATTAAAATCATTCAGAACTCGGGGCGCCTGGGTGGCTCAGTTGGTTGAGCGACTGCCTTCGGCTCAGGTCATGATCCTGGAGTCCCGGGATCGAGTCCCGCATCGGGTTCCCTGCTCGGCGGGGAGTCTGCTTCTCCCTCTGACCCTCCCCCCTCTCATGTGCTCTCTCTCTCTCTCTCATTCTCTCTCTCAAATAAATAAATAAAATGTTTTAAAAAAAAAATTTTAAATCATTCAGAACTCTAACTTGCAGGATCAGACCCAAGAAGGACTGGCAAACCAGACAGGAGAAAGGCCATGAGTCCATTACAAGATGGCGAAATGTTAACTCCCTGGACTCGGGGGCAGCCAGGCTAGGGTTTGAGGTGACCAGAGCCCCAGACTGGCTATGTCTGGCAGTGAGCAGTGCCATCCATTTACCCCCCATTTACCCCCATCCACTTCAGATATTTGTGTCACTTTCTAAGTGTCTCAACAGGTGAAAATGTTTGAGAGGCCCTGCTTCAGCGTTTAGGTCCAACCCAACAGCCTCGTGAAAACCCACCTGGGATTAAGCTCAGCTAGGCATATAGGTTACCTCCTCAAATTTCTTCACAATGTATAGGAAGGTCTTTGAGACTGGAATGCTTGTCTGGCAGAGGAGACATGTGGAGAAAAGCAGGGATCTGGGAAGCTGCAGCAAATGAGGTAATGCTATTTGATTGTGACACAACCCTAAGGGCTCATGGGAAGCGTCGTGGAGACCTAGGTCACAGGGGTGGGTCGTGAGCCCCAGGGAAGGGACAGCTGGTGGCATGCCTCCCGTCTCTGCTTCACCATCAACAATCTTCTGTTTTGTTAACTGATGTGAGTAGAAATTATTTTTTTATTGGCACCATAATTTGTATGCATACATAGAGTGAGTAGGATTAAGGATAATGGTTCATTTCACTGTGGAGAGGGCTCTGTACCTGACAGTCACATCTGATCTATGTACACGTGTACAGATGTTCTGTGTGTGTGTGTAGGTGAACGCACGGTGCATGTACAGCGGACACCCCACACAGGTACTAGGGATCGCACAGACTCTCACACACTGCTGGAAAAGATACTTGGAGAGCCTGAAAACTTCTCCACTTATCTTTTACTAAGAACTGATATAGAATTATCTTTCTTCCTATTCTCATTTCCTCTTAAAATGCAACACGCACGTGCGTGCATCCATGCGCACGCACACACACGTACATACACACACACGCACACACGCGCACACACACGCACACACACGTACATACGCACACACGCACACACGTACATACGCACACACACGCGCGCACACACGCACAGACGTACATACGTACACACACGTACATACGCACACACGCACACAGACGTACATACGCACACGTACATACACGCACACGCGCGCACACACACGCACACACACACACGCGCACACCCCAGCCACCTGGGCAAAGTATTCAGGTTCCAATTTGGTATGTCACAGCCACCCAGGTGTGTCAGGAAAAGCAAGGGACAGACGACCCAGCCGGTGCCTTTGAAAGGGGAGGGGGGTTGGTCAATGTCATCAAAAGAACCACCTGCACACTCCAGGGTCTGTGCCTTTAGGAGGCTGCTTCCCCTCACATCATCCCCCTCTTTCAACACGCAGTGCCTTCTGGGAACTTAAGGACAAAAACATGCCCTCTTACTAAGAGGTTCTGTGATGAGTTGGCCCAAGTGCACAGACAGTTCACGACACTCTGGGAATTGTCATGTTTTCCCGAATTTCTGATTCTTAAGGCCTTGACTTCCATTTCACCTCATGATGCTTGTTTCTTCATTATTTGGCCAGCCCCTGATTTTCTAACCCTCCCTCCTACTTATCAGCCTTCTCTCCCTCCCCCCTCAGCCCACCCCCACATTTTCTTCCCAACTCAGCCTTGTCGTCCTCCCTCTCTCACTGCTACTTAAATACAGTCGGATGCTCTCTCTGACCCGCTCCCTGGTTCCCAAGTGTTCCCAGAGTTCATGGGCTTAAGACTCAGATGACTAAGCTCAGGCTACATGAGCACAACCCACAAACCTTTTTGATTTTGCTGAGCAATACAAACCACGAGTTTCTTTCTCATGCAAGGAATCACCCTCAAAGGACCACATGGACCTGTTTTTTGGTACTTAAAAAATGGTAGCTTTTGTGTAAAGAACTCACGTGGGCAATATTGCAGGCATTGGCTACATGTATCTGAGGCAGGGGCTGCACACTAGTTTCTATTAAGTTCAAGAATCTTTGCAGAAGAGTCTACATGATCATCATCTCCCAACAAAGTGTTATTAACTATAGCATATGAGGTCTTCACATGGCACTTCCCAGTCCCAAGCAAGGCTGTGAGGAATTGTTTTGTAAAGTAAAACCACCAGCCGGGGGATGGATTTGGACAACCAATAATAACACACAAACAGGTAAGGGTGCGTCCAAACAGTGAAGAGTGTTTTCGTTTTCACCTGAGGGCTAAGGGAGTGTTTGGGGTTGCAGGTGTGGGACGAGAAGACTGTATAGTAACACTGAGAAGGCCTCCATGGTTCTTAGACTCCAGTACCAGGAACACCAAAGCAAGTGAAAAGTCCAGAACCGTGAGAGTTCCAAGACTCCTTGGAGCTTATCTAGTCCGGCCGACTCCTACCACAGGACTCAATGAAGCGTCATCGAGCTCGAACACCTCCAGCAGGAGATAACCCATCACTTTGCCGGAAGCTCGTCTGGGATCTGCCTTCCTGAAATTTCTAACCGTTGAGCCACGTCTTAGGCTGGTACAATCAAAGACAGCTGAGAGGCAGCTCATGGCTTTGACCCTCCAGCCCTATCACTTGGTACCTCTGTCATCTTCACGCTTCCATTTCTGCAGGGATTAAGCAAAAGAGAGAGCATAATCATAATAACTCATAAGGTTTTTATAAGTAGCAAATGATATTGTACAAACAGAGCCTTAAAACAGAGGCTGGCACACAGTAAGCACATGATAAATGTTCCTCGTGATGATAACGTGCCCTGCGAGGTCCTGCCCTCTCCAGGTGAAGCATCTCCATTCCATCAACCCTGCTGTGTATCATGTAATTCTAGAAAGACCTCCGCTGTTAGAAGCTCCTCCATCACAGTGAGATGCCCAGAAATGGATTTAATATTCCGATGTGGTAGAGCGTGCCCCCCTTTCGGTGGGAACAGCACCCACCCTGACGCAGGCTTCACAATTTCATCGGTGCAGCCTACGAGGCATTGGCTCTTTGCCCTACCGACCCACATCACTGGAAGCTGTCAGTCTTGTAGACACCAAAAACTACCAGCTCTTTTTCATGAAAACTCCTGTCAAACCAAGCCTTTCCAAACAATATTTATGTAATTGGGGGGGGGGTGTATGAATACATTTACATCTATTAAAGTAAATTCTTGTGTGGGATCTTGATTCCAGCCTTTTGCAGTGCAGTTGCATTCTGGTTTTATTATTCAGTCTTCCCTAATGTTGTGTCATGTGCAAAACTGGATAAATATGCTTTATTTTTATCCAAATGGTTGATTAAAGTGTTACCCAAACAGAGCCAAAGACAGAGCCCTGTGGGAACCCACTAGAGACCTCCGTCTCTAAATGATCAGATCTTCTGGAATGTTTGACTTAGGACTCCACCTAACTTTATTACCATTACCCCTGCCTTTTTCCATCTTGTTCATAAAGATATCGTGCCAAACTCAATACATGCTTTTTCTATTTCAGTTTCTCGTGAGTAAAAAAAAATAGTGGATCCTGAATTATTCCTTCTTAGAGAGAGATAATAGTTTCATGTAATCACAGGGTATGGTCCTGGCCCCCACCACCAAGCCCCAGGGCTCAGGGTATAGCCATATGGGCTTGCCAGAGTTTTTTTTTTATTGAGTTGGTAAAAATCCAGCAGGAGTAATAGATCAGAACATGGAAGGGAGCCTGGACGAGAAGCAGCTGGGACCAGAGAGTTTGGTGTTGCACACACATGTGGTAACCAAATTCCATTCAAGTATCACCTTCTTTCTGCTGAAGATCCTGTTTAGATCTGGTGCTTAAGACACGTGGCTCGGGTCATGACAACAGAAGGGTTACTTGCGAAGGTTTTTCAAGGACTGCCTCTGAAATCTGCCCTCGGGAACTACAGAGGGAGAGAGAGATGCCGAGGGCTGTGGCAAAGCCCCCTGAGGGGAGCAACAACTCCATACACAAAGGAGGACCGGGAGGTGCCCCGTATGGGTTTTGACTCAATATGGGAATCAGGGAAGTTGAAGGATTATCACGCTGGCAGGGAAAATGAAGCAACTCTGCCTTTTCTTTTTTTTTGAGAGAGAGAGAGAGAGAGAGAGAGCACTCAAGCAGGGGAAGGGCAGAGGGAGAGAGAGAGAATCCCAAGCAGGCTCCACACTCACTATGGAGCCAAGGTGGGCCTTGATCCCACGACCCCAAGATCATGACCTGAGCCGAAATCAAGAGTCGGCGCTTAACCAACTGAGCCCCCCAGATGCTCCCCCCCTTTTTTTCAATCAGTTTTTTTTTGGTTTTTGGTTTTTGGTTTTTTTTAGAATTCTGACTCGTCTTACAATTCCTCCTTTGACAGTATACTTTCCCAAGAGGCAAATGTTCATTTGGCTTGGGGCTCGTGGGAGTGTGACCTGGGCTTATCCAGAATGTGCCCATCTTCACCATCCTTCTCCCCACAGCTTACATGCAGGAGGGAGAGAAGATGACTACAGGGGAGATCAGGGGAAGAAAAGGCAAAGGGGGGGCCACTGTAAAGGAAAATGAGAGGAAAGCTTAAAATATAGAGTGACCATGGTAATTTTATTAGATTCTTTACTCAAACATCCACTTTGGGGAGAAAAAGGTCTAAAACTGACCACACAAGTGTTGGCAGTAGACAGAACCAGAAATTTGGCTCCGGTTACATTAACTCCATTAGGCCTGAGTTCTTTCCTTTGTAAAATGAAGGCCAGGAGGCACCAGCTAAAGAAGTTCTGTGACCTTGTCAAACACCAACATTTTCGGCACTGGAATGTTCCATTCTGAAGGGTTAAGAAAGTTCTAGCAATCTGGAGGTTGCAGAAATGAGGGTCAGGCACTGATACAGGGCCACACAGAGCCATCTGCATACCTGGAGCGTCCTAAAGCTGGGCGGGGGGTGGCGGGCGAGGGGAAGCATTGTCGGCTCTGGGTGGAAGGGGTTCCAGAAGATGCCCACAGGTTGGACTCCAGAATGTGCAATGGCCGACCATCTACAACCTGGAGGCCGATGGCCCAGATCCCAGATCTCAGCAGTCCAGAACGCTCCAGAAAGATTTTTCTGATGCCTCCCGCCTCCAGTTCTGCAATAATTCCATGTTTCAGACTGGGGCTGGGACGGAGGCAAACCTGCAAACCCTGATAGCTACAGAAGGAAGCGGGCCAGGAAGGAAAAGATCAGCTGGGCACCGTTCTGCTCTCGGCAAGAACGACAAGTCTAGAAATGCAGGAAGGAAACCCAGAATGCCCGGGGGTGGGGCGTGGGGGGTGGGGTGTATGTTACTGCGGCATTTCCAGGGCCAGTCTGTCCTCTTTGTTTGGGCACGCTTTTCCTGACAGAAAGCCAATGTTCTCACCACATGAATACTCGTGGACGTTAATAACAGCAGATAAGACCGCTGTCTGCAAAGATGCCGGGTTGCATGCAAATGGGCTGCAAATACCTTGGAGGGTTTCACAAAAATAAGACACCGGGGCCAAGAGAGTCTGGCAGAGGAGATGGGTCCTCTGACGACGACGGTGGGAGGGAACGCGCGAACTGCTCGAGCATGCGAACCTTTTAAAATGGGACGCCCTTGCCTCGAGCCCGTGGAAGGTCTGCAGTTCTGCCTAGGTGCCCTTCACGGGAAAGCAGCTCTAAGAGGTTTGCTTTTGCAGAGGCCCGGCTCCCCGAGGGCGATCCCTGAGGTTTTACCGCCATCCAGTGGAAGCCTGGAGTATGGCAGCTGCGGAACTGCCCCAGCCTCATGTGAGCGGCAGAGAGGAGGAGACAGTCTATCTCCCGCCCTACAGTGAAAGATGAGAGGAAGATTGCTGAGCTTCGTTTCATTATCACCCATTTAGTTCAAAGGAGCTGCCATTTTGGTTCCCGGCCATCAATCAACGGGCATCACTCAAGGACCAGGCTGGGCTGACTTTGCACATTCTATTTCACTCCAGTGAAGATAGAGACCTACAGGAAGTCTTTGGAAACGTCTTCTCCAATATCATAGCAATCATCAGGCGCCAACACTTCCAGTCCCTGCCATGTCCCTATTTTAACAGAAGAGTTTAATTATGTCCTGAAGGCGTAAGACCTGAAGACAGGGTAGCAGAGGGATGACAAGGGCTGTTCCAACGGGGAGCATTTATCTACCTCCTGGCAAGAAAAAGAATTCAGTGAGGGGATGGTCTACTTGTTCCAACGCTGTATTTCTTAGAAGAGAAGCCAGCAATGGGTGCCATTCCTGTGTTTTCTCCTGTTTTTGAAGAGGTTGCTGTGAGGACTGCAGTCATGGGGATACAAAGGCCTGGCAGATACTCTTTCCTAACAAGAAAGCAGATCCAGGGTCGTCTGTGGCTTTCCCTTTCACTCAGCCTCCTTTGTTCGGTTGATGGGCTAAAGACCAGAGGAGGAAAGAAAAGAGGGGAGGGAATAGGTGTTTCTTGAGTATCTACACTCTGACAGATAATAGACGTGAGATTATATTGCGTTCTCCTCACAAAAACCTCACTGGGCTCTTAAGAAAGACCAGAATGGTCTGGAAGGATCCAAATCATGATTTGTAATTCCCCCTTTTCAATACAAAACTAGGCTAAATGTTAGTGCAAAGCCATGTGAGAAACAATCAACCAAATCTTTGTGGAATGTAAATATCCTTAATTCTGAGTGTCATCAGTTCACCTCCAACCTCACCTCAACCCTTTTCCCACACCGGGTTTTCCTTTTGATGAAAAGCAGAGCATCAGGCTCTTAGGAGGTAACTCCCTAAATCAGCTACAAGTTTTTAAATGTCATTCTGTTTCAGTACATGGGGATTTTTTTTTTTTTCCTTCACCAAAAAGTGTTTCCTATGGCCCTTCCCCACAGAGCTGTTTCTGGGATTAAGTAAATAATAATTGTTAGGTACCATGTCTTTTCCAAGGGATATTATGAACCGATTCTGTCAAATAGGGATCTGAATGTATTCCCTCCTACAGTTAAACCTGTGAATCGTGGAGCTGGCTTTGAGGTCTCCTCCCTGTCCTACTTGGCCTGCCAAACCCCATTCCAAGGTTGCCACTCCGCCGCCTTCCTGCAGCAAAACCTCAGGATCCGTGACCCTTCTTGGCTCCACCTGTCACCCTTGCCCCTCACCTCAACAACTGGGGAAAACACACTTGTCTTAGACATAAGGAGGAGAAGGAGAAACGCGTGGAGAAGGGTCAAGTGCACGCCCAGTGGAATTGAAGCTTGAACTTCAGCTGCGGGACCTCAGCTCCGCGTGAAGACAAGTGCCCCGCCGTCTCTCCTTCAGGTCCACTGCACACCCCCCGTACTGCCCGTCTGCCACCGTGAAAGACTTGCCACCACATCTTTATTGCGTCTCCAAGTGAGGAGCGGTGAATAACTTACTATACAAGGAACACTCCCCATTTGTAGACGATGCCCACTTACAGAACACAGGTGGTGAACGCAGCGTGAAGCTGTTTACAGAAGCTGAGGAGCAAGGGGGTGACAGAGGAATCAGTGCAAGGAATTTAGTGCAAGGACGGTGCACGAATTCTCCTGGCAAGCGGGATATACAAGAGGAAGTTCTGGGAAAGCATGCAGGGGAGCTTATGTCCGGGGATGGAGAGCAAGTTTGGGAATGGTGACCAGTGAATTGGTGCTGGGGGCCCACAGGGGTCCCGTGGTAGCGCCACAGAGATGAGTATATTGGGGGTGACCTTTAGCCTCTCCTACCCAGACAAGATGGGAGGGTGCCAGTCAGTTGGCTTCCAGTGTAGATTTCGGCAGGGACAGGCCTTGGCTGTTTTTGCTCAGATTTGCAGTTCTGCTCTGCTCACAAAACCAGCCTTGAGGGAGAAGAGCTGGCTCCTGAAGCTCACTGAGCCAGGAAGTGGTCAGATGACCAGAGCTTTAGTCACTTGTGAAATGACTGGGCAGAGTAATGGGCACACCCTGAGTTGCCGGAGACTCCCTCCCACTTAAAAGAAGTATCCTAAGCCTGGGACAAAGGGAAAACACGAGTGCTAGGCCCTGGAGTCTTGTTAGCCCCCCAGAAACTCCAGAAGGGAAGGCAAGTTCTTCCCAAAAGGTTTTGTACAGTTTCCTCGGGAGCCTCGGGATTTAGCCCATATCTCCCGGGACTCCCCATTGATTGGCTGACTTGCTGTGCTTGTCCCACTCTTCTGAACGGCTAACTGCCGTCTTTCCTTCCTTCATAGTCATGGTAAGGGCTAGTCCGAGTCTGGGCCCTTGGAATGGAGAAATCCTTTTGGGAGGTCCGATTCTGAAAAGGAAGCAGCCATATTGTTAAGTCCACTCCAATTCCTGGATATTTCAACAGAGCTCCGATCTGGGCAGGAACCTTAACTTTCTCCCCTTCTCCCATCCCTCCCCCTGAAGCACCCCTCCCTGTGCCCTGGGAATACTCCAGGAACACTAGGAATCCTCCAGTCTCCCGTGCTAACCCGTGAGGCAGATCACAGGAAAGGAGACACGTCGTCCTTCCAAGATGGCCATCCAGGGGCCCTTCAGAATGGCTACATCCTGTGTTCCCGAAGGACAGACATTCCCGGAGAGCTAATGCCACTGGCAAAAAAAAGGAGAAAGAAACCATTTACCTGCAGCTGAAAATGGGTGGAATAAGGAGCATAGAGTGTATCACCTAACTCTTCAAGACCTGAAACAGAGGGAGAGGACGGGTTACAGCACTGGGGCCCCACCGGCTTCCTGCTCCAGCCAGTGCTCACCCCCCCATTCAGTCACCTATCAAAACATGCCGTGCTATCTATCCATTTGTCTGTCTCCCCAGGAGACCGTACGTTTCATGGAGGGAGAGACCAGCCCAGGCCCAGGGCCAGGCACAAAGTAAGCACCAGATTGGAGCAATAAATGAACAGAGGGTCACTAGGCGAGCACCTTTCTAGAAAACCTCCCTGGCGGCGCACCTCACCCCAGGACCACTTCTAAAGCACATCTGAAACCAGTCTTTTCAGATTTAGATCTGGCCAGAAGATGTTACCTAGAGTGAATCTCACTGAGGATTTACCCACTTCCTTAACTGCCCACAAGGAAAGAAAAAAAAAAAAAAAAGGCTTTTTTTTTCTTTTTACTTTCTTTGAGAGGGGGCAGAACTTATGAGCAATTGTTTTCTGTATATTTGGGGAAAATTAGAGGGATTTAAACTCTGGAACAGAAGAGCAAAGGCATACAATCATCATGAATACAACTTAGAGCAATCCATTTATTTCCCACCGAATGTACCCGTTTAGTTTATTTCACACACACCTCAGATACTTTCTCTATATAAAATACTGTGGAAAATCTAAAGATTAGGGGCACCTGGGTGGCTCAGTCAGTTAAGTGTCTGTCTGTCTTCAGCTCAGGTCATGATCCCGGGGTCTTGGGACCCGCATCGGGCTCCCTGCTCAGCAGGGAGTCTGCTTGTCCCTCTCCTCCCTGCTCATGCTCTTTCTTGCTCTCTCTGTCTCTCTCTCAAATAAATAAATAAAATCTTTTTTAAAAAAATCTAAAGATTGGGGCGCCTGGGTGGCTCAGTCATTAAGCGTCTGCCTTCGGCTCAGGTCATGATCCCAGGGTCCTGGGATCGAGCCCCGCATCGGGCTCCCTGCTCAGCGGGAAGCCTGCTTCTTCAGCTCCCCCCGTTTGTGTTCCCTCTCTCACTGTGTCTCTCTCTGTCAAATAAATAAATAAAATCTTTAAAAAAAAAAATCTAAAGATTAACCAGAATGATTCGTGGCCTGTGACCCGGCCTGGGGCTGACACTGGAGAGCAAGGGTTATAATGACAGCTATATTAAACAGTTATGGAATGAGACACACTCTGATAAGAGCATTTCCAAGTCCTACAGCTTGCAGGCAGAGTAAATAATGAGAAACTAGGGAATGTGTGACTCTGGAAAAGGACGAGGGCAGGGAGAAGGACATGCCTGGAGCCTGAACACACAGGCAGGGAAAGACAGCGACTTGGTTTGTTTGGACTGAGAGCGCAGCTTCCGTGGTTGTTGGGTTCTGGCTGTGAAAATATGGTGGGTACTGGGGAGCCAGCGAGGTATGTGAGCAGGAAAATGTGGTAGCCTGAGAAGTATTTTAGGGAGAGGAAGGTGATAGTGGTCCATAAAATGAATGGAAAGAAGGATGAGAGGGAGGAATGTACTTAGGGAGTGATAACAGGGAGTCCAGGAGTGTGGTGACAGAGTGAAGGATGAGAATGGACAGGAGCCGATGGGTGCTAAAATATCCCCTCCAGCCATCCCTGCTTCCGTCCCAGCTTCCAAGTGCCCGGGAGAGGGACCACAGCTGCTGTGAGAAGCACCAGAGAGCTTTGCACCTCGGGCTTCAAGGGCAGAGAAAACTGTTAGCTGAAGCTAAGGATCTCCGCCTTGGAGGTCCCTCACTGCAGTCCCAAACCCATCCCCCCTCCCTTGATTAGGCCCAGAGATCAATGACTAGATTCCTTGGGGCAAGGACAGTCTCAAGCTATCAATTTAGCCTTTTTGTGTGTGTGTGAGATCAGCGTAACACCTGGTTACTCACAACTTCAGGCAAGAGCAAAATCATTTGACTCTTTGATGTCAGATACGATCTCCTCCCTCCCACGGGCCCAGAGGCACGCAGTAAGATGTGGCTCTTCAGGATAAATCAGAATCCCCAGGGACTTTATGGAGATCCCTGCTGGTTTATGATAAAAGGGCATTCTCCTTCCTCTGTACTCTGTGACCACAGTAAGAAATCACGGCATGGCTTTCTATATTCAAATCTATAAAGCCTCCACATTGCTGGAAGGAACACCTAGTTCTCTTTTATAAAGACCACAATCTCACCTGCTTGTCTCTAGAGATTTTTTCAGTCATTCCTTTGCTCCAACTTATTTCGACTCAGAGAAACCCACAGGGTATTGTGTAGAAAGTACTAGATTAAGACTCCCGGGGCCAGCTTCTAGTTCTATTAGAACTCTAACCAGCTGGATGTTTTTAAGCAAGATCTGAGCCTTGGGGACCTTATCTATTCTGCCAGGGGTATGACCTGGATCATCTTGAGTGTTACTATAGTTATAATATCCTATGATTCTCCCCCCCATCTTTCTACAAGGGATTCTCACCCAGCCATGCTCTGTACCTTGGGTGATTTCCTCTTGAGAGTAGGCTCTGTTCTCCACACCATGGCTCTGCTTCATGAGTTGAGGTTTACAAAATGTATCCTCAACGGGGTAATCCATGGGGTTCCGTTGCTTTGTGAGCAGCCGAAACTCAGGTACAACATAAGCCAACAGGAAAACCCAGCCATTGGCCACCAAGGCTGAGCTGAGGACGGTATCATCCCACATGGGGCCAAAGGTAGAAATCAGGAGCAGGGTGATCCAGGCCACCCAGATGGCAATGGAGAGAAGCATGGTGAGGAAGATGTGGACCCCGTGTCTCTTCCAGCCGCTGAAGGATCCACAGAAGATGAAGCAGGACATGAGGCAGGTCAGCGCCATCAAGAAGAGGACATAGATAAGTAACATGACAAAGTCTTCATTGCGCCGAGAGGCAGAAAGCTCAGAGAAGATGGCGACATTGGTCCTGTTCATGGTGAGGATGATGTACTCAGCAGCAATGATGTCCTGCACCAGGCTGAGGCCCACGGCCAGGCTCAGCATCACCAGCAAGGACAGGGGCCTCATCCCATGCACCAGCTTCGTCAGGTTGAAAGCATGAACCAGGAGGCAGGAGAAGCAGAGGGAGAAGAGGACTCCGAAGAGGAAGAAGCGGGTGGGTCCTGTGCTGCCATCAAGTTGGATGATGAAGGCAAAGGTGAGGCCAAAGATCCCCAGAACACCCAGGAGGAAGAGAAACTGGGTCGGGAGCACTTTTCGCCTGTTGGAGTCTTGCACCTTGCAGATGAGAATCAGGAGAGCGAACATGAAGGCCACTGAGGTCACAGCTCCAGCTGCGGCCACTGCTTCGAGGACAATGCCCCAAATTGCAGTGGTATCACAAAGTCTGTAGTACCTGGCGTCCAGGCTTGAGCGGCAACCACTAGCGGATGTTGTGGCCATTCTGGTCCTGCGTAGAAGCAAAGGTGGGGGGAGGGAGAGGTGAATCTCCAAACAAACTCTTGGCACAGGGACCCAGAAAGATTAGGAAAAACTTTCCTATGCTCGGCCAGGGTTGCCCCTGAACTTGCTACATTAGATAAAGCTACTAACTTTTCTCTAGCTCTCATGGCAAATTCTAAAGACTGATGAAGGCAAAAACCAAAGCTCCCCACAATTAAGCACTACTAATGTGTACACTGACGCCAGAGAACTCAGTGCTCTGTTGAGGGGTTCCGGGGTCTCATTTCAAAACATAACTTAACAGGGTTCCTGATATTTCTGGCTTAGTATTTTGTCAGAATTCACGAACACGGAAATCTCTACGCTTAAACTTTAATCATAATTTATCAGTCTCAAGTTTTTTTCCACCTTTGCCTCTGTTTCAGACATTTGTAAGCATCCCCTTCTTTTTTTAAGAAAGACTTTATTTGAGAGAGAGAGAGCACTCGAACACGTGAGGGGGGAGGGGCAGAGGGAGAAGCAGACTCCCCGCTGAGTAGGGAGCCCAACGAGGGGCTCGACCCCAGGACCCTGAGATCATGACCTGAGCCAAAGGCAGATGCTTAACTGACTGAGCCCCCCGGACACCCTGTGCGCATCCCATTCTTTCATGGATAAGAGGAGTTTTCTGAACTGTAGATTTCTCTATGGAAGGACAAACATCCACTTCACCACCACTGGATCCTCTTCTTTAGCTCTGCTATCACGTGTTAGAAGGGTTTTTTCCCCTCCTTAAGTTTTGTAAGGATGGCTCTACTCTTATTCCAAAAAGTGATGGAAAGAGTCTTCTCTGTCATAACGAGTTCTTTATTAACTAGGAAGTCCTGGAGGACGCACCAAAAAACAGTGGACTATCCAACGAAAGACATTACCAATAGCTAATGTTCATTTTTACTCTGGATCAGAAACTCTTCCAATCACCTTTCATGTATATTAGTTTAATTTCATAGCAACTCCAGTAGGTAAAAAATATTAGCGCTATGTTACAGATGAGAAAACTGAGGCAGAGACAAGTCAAGTTACCTGCCCAACATCCTACAGTGAGGAAATGGCAGAAGCAGAATTTGAACATAAGTTATCTGGCTCTAGGATCCATGCTCTCAACTACAAGTGCCACCTCTTGAGTGAGTTCTAGCTGGCCTTAAATGCAATCTGAAATAGTCTCATTCTCTCTCTCTCCTCTTATGTCTGCCCCTTTTTCTCCCTCATCAGATGCCCCATAAACCAGCTCTGTTTATGGTCTCGATTCCACTTAGTTCAGCCCCACACAGGCTAGGAGCTCCCAGGTGATGGATGATCCACAAAGCAGGCAATCTGCTTACCCACTCAAGGACAATCAGAATTGACAGGCTGGGGGCACCTGGGTGGCTCAGTCGATTAAGTGTGGACTCCTGATTTCGGCTCAGGTAGTGATCTCAGGGGCCGTGAGATCAAGCCCCATGTTGGGCTTTGTGTTCAACTCAGAATCTGCTTATTCCTCTCCCTTCCCCTCTCTGTGCCCCCCTCCTGTTCCAGCTCCAACACACCTTCTTTCTCTCTTTCTCCCTCAAATAAATAAGTAAATAAAATCTTAAAAAAAAAATTGACTGGCTATCCTTCCTTTATATCTCTCCTTGATCTCCCGGATCTGCTTCCTTCTCTGTCCCACAACCTTCATGTCAATTTTAAACCCAGCTGATGTCCCAAACCTCATGAAATCTAATTCCTAAGAATTCAGGGCATGGTGGAAAGATAAAGTGGGAAATTGGAAGAGAGCAGGAGTTTGTACATTTCCTTAAAATATACGGTACTCAAAGTCCAAAGTCAACGTCAGGTAAGACGTTGAAATTCAAAAGTGCTAAGGTTTTTAACAGTCGTCAACAAACTAATTTTTTTCTGGATTATCTGGCTGTTTATCTAGGGCACCATTCCTTTTGTTTTGTTGAATGCTATTTGTGCATGAATTTTGTTTGGGGGGGGTGGCTTTAGATTTCTTTTCCTGATATAATTGCTCACTCAACAGTGAAAAGTTCTGAACTGATTCAAAGAGACATACAGTCAGGGCAGGGAGTAGGGGACAGTTAGAGAAAGAGAAGGCTCACTGAGAACCCCTCCACACAAAATCATCAGTGAAAGATTTTGGCCTCCTCTAAGGCCAAATGGGGAGAGACTGTGCAGAAAGGAATTGGAAAGAAGGGGAACCGCTGAGACCAGGAAGCAGGAAAAGGTACAAAACATTCACTGCATCCTGCCTCTTTCCTTATAGCAGAAAAACAGCTCAGAATGTCTTCACCACATGCCCATAAATGCATATAGACAAGATTTCTCTGGCCCTTCACAGCTCTAAGGGGATGCTGTGATCAATCCAAGGAAAAAGAACACCCATTTCTCCTTCTTCCATCTTATGTCTTCAAGATCCAACCACAAGTCCGGGAAGCAGCACAGTGGGATACGGAACGAGCCATCACTCACTAACTGTCCAGGGCAAATGAGCCTCTTCTTCAATGCAGACAGAATTCAAACATCTGCTTCCCTTAAAGATATAAAATCTGGGGGTGCCTGGGTAGCGCAGTCGGTTAAGCATCTGACCAATCACCATTGGTTTTGGCTCAGGTCATGATCTCAGGGTCATGGGATCCAGCCCTCGTCTGACCCATCTGTTGGGCTCTGTGCTCAATGGGGAGTCTGCTGGAAAGATTCTCTCCTGATGCCCCGCCCCTCCCCCCCAAATAAATAAAAAAAGATACAAAATCTGCATTTCAGTTAGATGACATAATCATCGCCCTAGCACTGTTTTATTCTCATGGCAATTCGGGAAAAAATTATATGTATATATATGCAATATAAAACACATACTTACATACATGAATATTATGTATGTGTTGGAATATTATAGGTGTGGTGTATTAGAATAAAATAACTTAAGTAATATAAAGAGCAAATAGTTTATAGCTTCAATCTATCTTCCGAACTTTTTAATGAAATTTGGCTCGCCAAGCTTAACTTTGTATCGTATTAAGTCATTCACTCAACCAGTATTTCCTGAGCACCACTATGTGCCAATCACTAGGCTAGAGAGTCCATGGTAAAGGGGAAAACAGACAAGTGCCCTAGCATGGCAGAAGGGACAGACAGACAGACAGAATCTGCCACTATGGCCACAGGCTTCCCACAGCCCTTCGTCACGCAGGGGTCTGTCACCTGCACTCTACCGCAGGGTCACCCCTACCGCAAAGCACAGAGCAAAGAACGGGTGAAGAACGGGTCACGGGTCCCATTCCTCAGGGCAGCGCAGGATGAGAAATGGGAGGAAGAGGGCAGGCATCCCCTGAAACACAAGTCCCCAAAGTCTGACTTGCCTTGCCTACTCCACCACTCTGGTGGTGGTTCGGGGAAAGGGGGTACAGACTGGGCTCAGTTGTGGGTGCCAGGAGTATGGGAGAGGAAGAAGCCCCCAGCCCCGGGCTGGATGCAAGCACTGTGCACACCAGGGAAGGGAGGGACCCAGGCTGGGCGCACCTTCACCTCCCCACCTCACCCCCTCCCAGATCCACCATAAGGGCAGTGTCTAGCTGCAAAGGTATTTCTCCTTCCCAGTACCCCCGCTCCTCCTCCCCCGGCCAGTGGTTCCTTCCCCACCCCTCAAGGTAGTACTGTCCCTTGACAAGCAGGCATCAGCATCACCCGGGAACCCTGAAGGACTTCGGGCTTGAGGACTCTAAGTCTTGACAGAGATCGATGAGGTGTTTGTCTAAAGGATGGTTGTGGTGCTGGCCAGAGGAACAGTGAGCCAGAACCTCCCGCCCCCAACGTGAACCTCCGGGCCGCTCCCTTCTGGTGTAGGCGGGGTTGTGTCTCGGGCCTCTTGGCATCCACAGACCAGGGTCCGATGAGAGCAATGGGCCACGGGTGTGGAGAGGGGAGAAAACCGATATCCCTCAATTTCACCTCCACCTCCCACCCCAATCATACATGGGAGATGGGGAAACAGACACTGAAGTGCCTTAGAACGTTGTTTTTAGGGGCGCCTGGGTGGCTCAGTTGCCTTGGACTCTAGTCATGATCTCGGGGTCCTGGGATTGAGCCCCAAGTCGGGCTCCCTGCTCAGCAGGGAACCTGCTTCTCCCTCTGCCTCTCCGCGCCACCCCCCTCCCCTGCTCCGCTTGCTCTCTCACTCTCTCCCTCTTAATAAATAAAATATTTTTTTAAAAAAACCACCGTTTTTCAAGAAATGTTGACATTTTCAAGCATACTCGCAAAGCCCATGGGCTCATCACTTGGTTTCAGAAATTACCAATATATGGGGCGCCTGGGTGGCTCAGTTGGTTAAGCGACTGCTTCGGCTCAGGTCATGATCCTGGAGTCCGGGGATCAAGTCCCGCATTGGGCTCCCTGCTCTGCGGGGAGCCTGCTTCTCCCTCTGCCTCTCTGTCTCTCATGAATAAATAAAATCTTTAAAAAAAAAAAAAATACCTCTCCCCAAAATTATATTCATTCATGCAACAAGTGCTCCTACATGTGCACACACTACGCTGGGCTCTGGGAATACAAA